AACCCGCTTGCCCCAAATCATACACCTGGACAGTGGTGCCCATTGAGCATCTATGAGATGCCAGGACATGAACGACCTTGGTGCTGGGCCCAGTCCTGGGGAGACAGACATGAAAGAGATGCTATCCTCGCCCTTGCGATGCTTCAGAATCCACATCTCTCCCTTGCCACCTGAATGCCCTTCTAGCCGTGTGAGACGCAGACTCTGTCCAGAGGAGTAGGCCCTGACAAACCGACCCTCCTTAGTAACAAGGGGCCTCCAGTAGTCAGGTGGCTTCAGGTCACCCACCCCCTCTCTCCAAAGTGAAGCTCAATTGCAAAATCACCTTCAGGCCAAACCACCTTCCAGTCCATGCCCACTCATAGTAGCCCTATCCAACAGGGAGAACTGTCCCGGGGAGTTTCTGAGAGTGTAGCTCTTTACAAGAGTAGAACGCCCCCCGTCTCTCTCCCAAGGAGCAGCTGGGTGGTTTCAAACCACTGACCTTGTAGTTAGTTACAGCCCAACTCATAACCTTGATGCTACCCGGGCTCCTAAAATAGTTCTGTGTAACATGTATTCCCATGGCCCCCTGGGATGGTGAGAGCTGGGCGGAGAGGTTCTACTACAGTACGGTACACTGAGAATCTTTTCTGAGTTTTCAGGGGGGAGAGTGTGAAATATAGAAATCTCCCAACGTGCATTTCACGCCTCCATCATTTTGAGATTCCCGTGGTGTGGGAGCAACAGCCATCTAGCTGAGAGGAATTACTAGGAGGCAGAAGAGGGGCGAGTGGGATGGTGGGGCAGGAGGAGGGTAAAAGGAAACAGAGGAAAAATCTAGGAAGCAAAGCTATGGATAGAGGTGTAAACATAGGTGTGCACTTATGTAAATATGTTAATTCCTATAAATAGAGGTATTGGCATAGGTACATATATTTATATGGCAGTACACTGAGGGAGTGGACAGGTTTTGGGCCTCTGCTCAAGCCCTCCCTCAATGTAAGAACACTGTTCTAACCACCTTGCATCCTGTGGTGTTCAACCTCCCAACATGATCGCTGAAGACAGAATGAGTGTGGAGCAAACGTGAAGACAGCTGATGGTGCCCGGCTATCAAAAGACATAGTGTCTGGGGTCTTAAAGGCTTGACGTTAAACAACCAGTCACCTAGCT